TGGAATAGTGGAGCCGTGGATGTAACTGACCACTCAGATTGTACAATTTCCCAGTGAGGATGATTTGCGAATGGATAAATCATACCCTTTGATTTTCTAAATGAGCATCCGGAAACGCCTTGGGAATTCCATGTTGAAGTATTAGACTACTGCTACGTGTCTACCATCTTCTACTTCTACGATAAAATACGATCAACGACTGAGATGAATTGGATTTATCCGTCGGCTCAAGCCCCAAGCACCTTCATTAGGATTGAGCTTAAATAGACATACCCCCGGAGCCGGCAAAGATAATGGAAAAGAGATACGTTGCGAAAAAACGGTTATGATTGACAGTGCGGATTATCCAAATTTGTAAAGCCGGTTCATATCAAGTCCTAGACGCCATCATGAAGAAGTATCTGCTCTTTATACTTCTTATATTTCTTATGCAGGAGGATTATCCAGGAATCAAGACCCTTTTTCTCTTCATTATGATATGGGTTGTCCACATATCTGCTGCTTCTCAAACCTTATGGACGTCAGTCCAAAACATTCACACTGTGTTTTGCCACATCAATGGGATTCTCATCTTATACAGGAAACAGTTCCAGTATTCGCCTTCACATTTAAGACTTGCTTGTTTTTCTTGTCAGGCTGGAGCCGAAGAAGAGGTCGAGCAATGTTTCCCGCAGCACGTTTCTCCGTATCATCTCGATATGGGTCTACATTTCTCTCTTCATAGAGATCGGCGCATTAGATCTCAACCTTGTTCAGGAGAGATGTTTAGTGACTTCTTGTTGAGAGCCCAAAACCTACTTCGTGCCCAAAAAGCAAAAACTCTGGGGTTTTCCCGATCAAAGAATTGTGAGATTGACAGATCAAGCCCGCCATGCTCATGTTATACGATTGGGTCCCACCAGTATACGATACTATTCATGGATGCCGATGACCTGGAGATTTACATGCAGGAGAAGTAGCTCATGGGCTAGACCCAGCTACATAGATCGTGACCCTTCCCAAGGACAAGAAACACAAGTTCCCGTACAATACGGCAAGTAGAAATGCGGGATAAAGATGAGAGGGGTCTTAGGAAGGATTGATGGCCATGACTTTCTAGAATCTAGCTGGAAAGAGGCAGTGTATAACAAGTTATGGTCACAGGATTAGCCAACTTTATTGGAGCAAAGAGGAGGCCGCATATACCAATGCGCCATACATTCGTGCGCGGGAGATCTAAACCATCAGAATGCATCCTCTTGGGCCGCTTCAATGGAAGCTTTGAGTGGCATCATCACCAGATCAGTGTAAGTGATAGGCACTTATCCTCAAACTAAATTCTACTGCGGATATAACACGCCTCAGACAGCAATTATTCCCATTTCAAGAATTACACCCCCTTTGTAAAATGCCCAGCCACTTCTGTTAAATCTAATCCGTACACGGATCATCCATTAACTTTGGAGAAAAGTCTAATTTCTAGTTGTGGTTTCTAACATTCTACAGAGATTGACCCTTCCAACCTTCGTAGACGAGTCTTGGTCTAACATGGATACACTCTTTGGGAGATCCCAGCTTTCATACGGAAAGGATTATTCGTCTGTGCGTAACACTTACTTGTGGATGTGGCATCCCAAGCTACTGGATTATTACTCTTGAGCAAAATCAAAAAGTCATTTTAAATGATTTTGCAATTGTCCTGTCCTGTACAAAATAAGTCTGTTGGATCGAATGCCAGATATGTCATTCGGGTTTCCGCGCCTCGAGATCTTAGGGCCTGGAAAAAGTTCTGTATACTGTACCGTATACGATTTTCACAAGCTAAGATATCTAACCTACGGACCCACTAGATCGCCGAGGTGGCCGGATAAATGCTACCGTCATCACAGCTAAGAATGATACCTTAAGTCCGCCTCACGTCGTAATGATATTCAGCCTTCTCTATGCCTCGTGGCCATTCATTTCCCTCCGGCATTATCCCTCATCCACCTTCCGATCCCGAAATCAAGCTAAACGCTTTTCGGCGCTTACGAATCGGAAGCGGTTTCAGATTACTGACTGGCCTTACTTGACGGGATGTTCCCTTCTCTTTTCCGCCGTGACAGGTTGGACTTATTGGCATATTAATATAATAACGGTGGTTGGTATCTGCAGTGCCGGTACCTACCGGTTTATTATGAAGAACCCGGTATCTGTTATTTTCGAAGGAACAACACAAGATTTCTCCGTAATAAGTCTACGTATTACACATGGAATGTGATTCTACGTCTTGGTTCTCCTTCTATGTAAGTTCTACAGGTTTTCTCATCTTCATGTCAGCCTCACCGACGCAGCACGCTGCACCTTTGCTTACATGCAAGACTCTCAAACGACCAATCAAAAAGAACATTCTGCCAGCAACGAACGGATCGTACTCGGAATGGCAAGCGGGACGTGCCTCTTGTCAGAATTTAGAAAGGGTGTCGAGAAAAATCATTCAAGGCAATCCTCGCATGAAATGGAAGAACGCACTCCCTTCCAACGCTCCTGACCCCCTGTTACTATTATTATATGACATATCATAGGATAAGCACTTGGGACTACTGGTAAAAACTCTATTGTTTACTTTGTTCTTAAGTGATCTTTCCATGTGTTTCTTTTCCTCGTTTAGATCTATGACTGCCCAATTTGTTTGACAGTTGGGCTTTGTCAATTACAGGCCGAAAGCTCGGCTCGCACTGTTCATTTAGCGATGCAATTGCGAATTGTATAAAGGTTGATGCTGGTTTGGAATGTTTTAGGTCTTCCTTGGAGTGATTTATCCAATCGGAAACCTATTGTATGCAAAGTTTTCTAAGCTTTGTGTTAATATAACTTGCAAGATAATAATCTTCCAAATTGGACGCTGAGAATTCATTTTTTTTTGGATGCTAATTATATCAGTATTGTGACAAGTGTCAAATCTGACACTTATTAAATAGCTAGCTCATCGCATCTGGAATATCCTTGTGGTATAACTGATGAGCTGGCTTCGTAGGAATGGTCTAGTGACTCTCGAATTTTGATGTATCGAAGGAGGATTGGAGGGCAGATAGGACCGGATCATCATGATAGCAATTATTCCATCCAAGGATTCTCCCCTCGCCTACTTCCAATCCATGTTCATTTTCGTTATAGCCATTCTCATGACCAACTTCCAGAACAATACCTCTCAGTGCGGTGGCTAAAAGTTAAGTCGTTGATCAGTATCAGGAATCAGAATCATTTTGACATGTTACGGAAGAAATAAAGCTCCACAACTGTACAAACTAAACGTATCTTTGAGATTGGTTGAGATCCTACTAGGTCAACCATCTCTGTTTCGACTCGCCTAATTCTTTTCATCAATCCGAAATGGCTTCAGGGGGAAACAATAATCACTTATCAGTATAGCACAGCATAACATATCGAATCTAGTACTTTATTACCAGAAAGCTACACTCTCGCACTCTCCCAGCCGCTTCATCTCTTTGGTCTCACATTCACGAACAAGGCTCAAACGTACAAATAACATCATCCTATAATTCAGTAATAAAAGCAGTCGATTTCCTCCCCTCTTCCCCCTTATACAATTTTTATCCTCTCCGCAATATATTCGTGAAATCGTTTGACATGTATATCTATCCACTCTAGCTAGGTATGTGTTATAGACGAAATAAAGTAGATAGCAATCAAAAAATACCTATCTACCAAAAGACTGAAAAGCACCTATTTTCTTTTTCTTTAATCTCATCTCCTCTGATTCCATCTCAAGTATTCAGTCGTCTGGTACACTTCCAACGTATCTGATTATTGCCATTTCTTCATCCCACAACATGTATTCTATTTCATGCCTGATCACCGAACGGAGGCATCGAATCTAAACTCCAAGATCCATACGATATGATACGAAATGGGCATTCAAAATGCTGTAACAGGATATGGTTAACAAAGTCGAACGAGAAAATCTCACATGCTTCGATCTACCTAGGTATCTATATACATTTTCTCGTATCTATTTATCGTCCATCCCCTTTTTTTTAAAAAATAAAAAATAAAAAAATAAGAATATAAAATACAAAAACGAGCATCACATCTTTCAAAATCGTAGCTTGAGCCGAGTAACGAGAGATTAAATCTCAGATACAGATACGGATGTTAATCACAAATCCCATTCTAATGAATCTATAAATCATAATATATCTCCAGATATTCATTATTATAAAGTATAAAGTATAATTCACTCACTCGCAGTTTGTGGACGAAGATGGAAATCTCACTGATAGCTGGAGATTCATATATATAGGTAAGAGTGGGAGATTTGGAGGAGGTGTTATTTATCTACATAGGTACTTGGGGAAAATCTGGAATTGGTGAAGGGTTTTGATTGTGTGGTTTTGGTTTTGGGGTCGGGTTTGGGTTGCGCTGGATGTGTGGATGTGTGGATGTGTAGATGTGTGGATATCGAGCGGGATTAGAATTTAGAGGGGATAGTGTGGTAGAAATAGAAATAGAAATAGAAATATGAGCTTGGATATGTGGGTAAGTAAATGTATCTTTGGGAAATGTGAGATTTATTTTTCTCGTTCTCGTTCTCGTTCTCGTTCTCGTTCTCGTTCTTCTTATAATGGGTTTATATTCGAGATTTGGGTTGGGTCCACAGCGCACAAGGGATTGAGGAACGAGTGGTATCTGAAAGTTGGAAAGGGTTAGGGTATTAGAACTGGTATTGTGGTTGTGTGTGTTGATTTATCTGCTGGTTTTGAGGTGTTGGCTAATTGGGTGTAGATGGTTGGTTTGTGAGAGTGATGGCGGTTGGTTGTGTACTTGATGTAGTGCTTCTTCTTTTACTGGAATGCTTTTGTGATGTGATATGATGTGATATGATGTGATATGATGTGATATGATGTGATATGATGTGATAAATTCGAAATTAGATGGGGGTTGGTTCATGTTCATACCATTGATCGTCATCTTGGGTGTAGAATGTTTGCTTGTGATCTCAGTAATAAGAGTTGGGTAATTCGGGGACAACTACTCGTAGCATATGTATGTGTACTTGATTTGATATAAAATTACATCAGATTATATGTGATCATTCCATGAACCCCAGTGATACCACAGAGTAATGATGATTCTTAGATATCATTATAAATCGTCCCATACCATCCCATCCAATCTCATCCATTCATATTATACCTCTATCTCCCTATCCAGTCCATACAGATCCGATGCCAGCATCAAAACCATTCATCTAAATCAGACTTTCCTTCTCCTTACTTCCTTCCCTCCTCCCTTCAAAGGTCTTCATCGCCCCATCAATCCCACTAACCCTCCTAGCAATCGCCTGCACTCCCACAGGCAAAACCCCCATCCATTCCACCCATCGCGCATACAACGGCATAGCCAACACCGCACTACTTCCCTTATCGATCGTCGCGATAATTTCCCTCGCCACATCAACCGGTTCCAGTATCGGCGCGAAAAAACTATTTGGCGTTACGGTACCGGAAAATAACGGAGTGCTCAATTGGCCTGGCTCAACTAATACCGTTTTGATATTAGGATAGGCTTTGAGTTCTGCAGTTAGAGAGTGGTGCAGCGCAGTAAGGCCGGCTTTGGAAGCGCTGTAGTCGCTGAGTTGAGCGGCTCCTAGATGGCCTAGAACACTGGACATGGTTACGATAGTACCGTGACCGGTGCGGATGAGGCCTGGGAGGAAGGCTTTGAGAGTGTAGAAACTTCCTAGGAGGTTTACTTTGAAATTCTGTTCTATTTCATCGAGAGATAGATCCATAAGCGATTTGCCATTTACAATCGCCGCATTGTTGATGAGGATTGTAGGGGTACCGAGCTATTTGCTATGTATCAGTTTCATGTTATTCTTCAAGTAGACAGGAAAACTCACATCTCGCTCAATCTCCACAGCCACTCTAGCAACCTCCTCTCGATTTCCAACATCGCACTTATAATAACTCACTCCCCTCGCCTCTCCACTCTCCAAATCTCTCACATCTAACACCGCAACCGTCGCGCCGCGCATTCCATAAACCTCAGCAACCAACAATCCCAGTCCGCTAGCGCCGCCCGTAATCACTATAACCTCTTCTAAAAGATCTACTTCTCGGGCTTTAGAGTATGCGATTTGACGATTGAGGATGGAAAGGAAATATAACATGGTGAGGAGAGAAGCATAGCCGATGGCATACTGAATGGCTTGATGATGCCAGGGCATTGCTTGGGCGCGCATACAAAGGGGAATCATCCAGGCGACGAAAGGGTGCAGGAAAGTTACTTGGAGCACTTTGTGCAGGAGATCTATGCTGAGGGGTTTAGCCCATGGGAGCTCTTCGCCTTGGCGTGGTCGATTCATTTTGAGAGTGTTTGGCTGGAAATTCTGTAGAAGAGAGTTGGGATGATTTTTGGGAGAACTCGATGGATGGGATGAAGAGAATGTGAGGGGAGGAGAAGTTCATTCATATAAGTGGCATCATTTTTTTTGAGGAGTGCATATGAGACGAATCTGATGTGAGGAGGAGGAGTGGTTTGTTTCATGAGGCAAGGCTAGATAACCGCCGTGTGTAAATTTGGTCTGTGCATCTCAGCCTTGCGTTTCATGGTGGCCCCACTGGCGGACCGAGATGTGTAAATAGAAGTGCTGATCCCACAGATACCATGTTGAAGTTTTGATGGTGTTCAGCAGTAATTGCGAGTGCGTTTTGAAGGAGAGTGCACTGTTCAAAAGTATTGATCCCCGTGCGAATATTAATTGTCCCGTTCAAATCTGTCCCAACGATTATCTAAAGCTTATTGGCTTCCTTTTTTTGTTTTGACCATTCGTTAAACAGCCACGAGTGATAAATACATCCGTATCTCTCGTCATTGGGAGGTGGATGCTGGCTATTGTGACATTGTGTCTCAAGTGAGTAGCGAGAAGCTGTCTCGGTTTTTGTACGCTTGCTATGTACTTTCGATGTTTTCTTGCTACTGCTAGCCCAATCTGTTTTAGGAACAGTAGGATCACAGTATCTCTTTCCGAATGATGTGTACTTCTTCTCACTGTCATCTCAAGTAAAAAAGATCACGCAATGAATAACCCACGAATTGAACTGCGGCTTCTAGTTGCGTTCATCCGATTCTCAACATTCCTGTACCTGACCCGAGCTCAGGCAACGAGACACCCTCGTCCGTCATACGCTCAACGTATGTGGCATAGGTTGGAAGATCAAGTCCAGTATTATTGGACATCATCCAGCACATCAATCAGAGATGATTCTCTCAAGTCTCGCCTAGATCTCAGGCCAAAGTTTGCTGTTTTGTTGCATATCTGAGATGTATTGCATTGCTTCCGTCTTCTTAATAAGCGATACAAGCAATGATTCTAATGATATTTACCTTCTGCTAACCCGTCTAGAAGCCATTATAATGAAGAGGCTAGCAGCTATACGTTCTAAGATACGCAACAAAAACAAGAATGTAGCTAATGAATGTCGTCTAATTACAAAGGTAATGTTCTGGAAGTTATCATCTGAAGATTGTCTATCTAATTCAATCATTACTTCATACGAAGAGCTAAAATATAGTTGTCCACTTTCAATGTTACGGTGATCCAAAAATCGTTTGCAGTAATACCCGTACACGTGCAATATTTCTTACATGGTGTATCGATCTTTACACAGTGTATACACCATATATACTCACTGAGATAGCGTAAGAATGGTGAGATGGTTTACATGGTGTAAGTTCCCTTACACGGTCCATACACGGTCCATACACTGTATACCGATTACCCATAACTATGCGAAGGTTCGTCAAATAGTTAACACCTGGTTTGCTGCAAATGAAACTTACCTAGGTGGAATCCTATAATACAGGATTAAACTGCCAAACAAAAGCCGCCATGATACCCCTCAAATGACAGATCTCTTCCGAGCCTCCCAAACCACGTGGTCTCTACACGCAGCACAATGGATCTCCCAGGAAGCCAACCTATCTAGATCGTTCTTATTATGACAATAAGACCATCCCATCTTCCCTTCAATTGACCTTGCCCCCCGAGCACTTCGCTGTCCCTCAAGTAGGCCTAGGCACAACCACAACCCTATCCTTCGCTCCCACATAAATCTTTCTATTAAGCACCTCCTGAAACCGTCTCCTATACACTTTGCGTGCAATACTGCGCGCCAAAAAATTCGTATGAAGCAAAGCAGGAACAGCCGAACACTTATGATCAACTATCTTCTTCTCGCAGCCGAATGTCAGAAGATCGGTGATGTATTTGATGAATTTCGCAATTATGCTTGCGTAACCTTTGAATTCGCAGGGCTCATGACGGATAATGATTTTGCGAGATGCGATATCTTTCGCTGCGAGCGTCCAGATTCGGTGTTGGAGTTCGATGGGAAGACGGGGGAAAGGGTGAAAAGAGCGAGGAGGTGCTGGAGAGTCTGGGATTGGGGGAGAGGCTGATCTTGGAGGTGAATATGTAGGTGGAGAATCGTCGGCTGCAGTTTCTTTTCTGGTAGTCATGGTGACGCTTAAGTACCAGCTACGATCTCTGGTATGATGAGTACTGTGATGTGCAATATGCGGATGGTCTATGAAACGAAGACTAGGTGGCGTTGAAGACGCCATCTTGGTGTATGTGTGATGATGTAAAGAGAAGTTTGGTCCTGGAGTCTAATGCTTGGTATCTTGTAGTTTGTGAGCGATCTTAAATGTTTTATGTTATGGCAGCTCCCTGCTACTTTGTTTGCAACCTTAGAGAAATCACATCTCTTTGCGACCGTATCAAACATATTTTTACAGGTACAGGAGAGATCTCTGGTGGATTCGTCTAATGATACCTAGGTAGTCCATGATATACATTCTACGACACATGAAGTGACAGTATAATGCTACACCAGGGATACTTCGAAGACCGTAGTACCAGACTCATCAATAACGGAATCTCAGGTTCATCTGAAAATGTACCAAAGGAGTCAAGTTGAGAGACCAGCTCGCCGAAATATGTAGAATTCCCATCAAAGCCTACCTACACGCGACTGTGACGCTCATTGTCACAAAGGAAAGCTTCCAGCAGAATACTATCCACGCACTCCCAGTTTCGGCTTGCTAAACGTCACTGCAGAATATGGTAAGATATTTAAGAATAGCTAGCTTCCCTGAAGCCAAGTAGGCAGATACATCCTGAGTCAAGCATGCATAATATACCAGACGATGTAGCCAGTGTTCTGCCCAACTCAACAATCTCTCAACCTCACCTGTCACCAATTGATTTGAATAGAGTAACCTGTTCCTATTTCTCCACTGCGCACTGCAATTGATGCTTACTTTCCAAGTACCCATAAATGTATAAAGTCCAATTCCTGAAATTGACGATCATTTAGTTCAAGTAATATTGACTTCTTAGTCATGGACAGACCAGATTAAAGTGTTCATCATTTCATGGCTCGGTGGCACAGCATGATATCAGTGAGTGCTATACCGATTGGACAAGATGACATAAAGTCGCACGTAGATACAATTACATACAAACGCACACTCATTTCCGACCAATAAATGTTCTTTGAGATTACGTTCCCATTCATCCATTTCTATGTTCAGTCTATGCTTTTAATTTATATGCAACTCTAGACGCCTAACCCAGCACTTGGTTCGTCAAGACGTTCAATGGAAATCTACCAAAGATCGAGTGTTTGTATATATCTAATTCTCTTCCATGCCATATGAACAAGAATGGAAAACTTTGAATAGTCCGCAGTGCGGTTTACGGGTATAGCAATTGTATATGAGCCATGGTTTGCAATGCGCCAAGCGAGTACTCTACCAATGTACTCCCCTCCAATGCCCGAACTCCTAAATGCAGTGCCCCTAACGGAAAATAGCCAATCTTTAGTCTAATCATAGTTAAACAACACAGAAATGCTCTCTCCATGGTGAACACGACGAATTGCCTCGGCGAAGACCGGGCCAACTTCCAAGACCTCTAACTTGGGGCAGAGACGTTGATGTTCATCTTGTGGAACACTATTGGTCACGATAATTTTATCCAGTGCAGATGCATTGATACGCTCAATAGCATCACCACTGAAAACTCCATGGGTTATCAAAGCGTAAACGTAAGTGGCGCCCTCTTTCTTGAGCAATTTGGCAGCTCTTGTAATGGTGTTCGAGGTATCGGCCAAATCGTCGATGAGTATAGCAACTTTATCACGAACATTGCCTACAAGCATCATTGTAGCATTTTGGCGATCGGTGATTCGGGTAGGTCGACGTTCCTAATTGATATGAGTGTGCGCAGGGAGTAGAATTGGAGGAAGTTTTACCTTATGAATCAATGCAAACTCCATGTTGAGTCCATCGGCAATCGCAGTTGCTCTCTTTGCTCCACCAGCATCAGGACTTACGACGATAGCATCCTGAAAGTTCGGGATATTTTGCTGGATGTATCTCTTCAAGAGAGGCTTGCCATAAAGATTGTCCACTGGAATGTCAAAGAATCCTTGGTACTGGGGGTCGTGGAGATCCATGGTGATTACCTGATCGGCACCAGAGCAAGTCAAAAGATCTGCGACGAGTGTGCCAGCTTGCGCTACCCACTGTTTGTATCCTGGCTTGCCTTGGAAAAGAGTTTTGCTTTGACCATTGACGAATCCAGGGTTCTCGTAATCGTGAGTGGTGAAATGTGGAGTTGACACGGGAGTTGATGCTCCGTCAGCCAAGCGACCATTGGTAAGAGAAGCAATGGAATCCGAAGTATCTTGTCGTCTGGGTGTTATTCCATTTGAAGTTTGGGTATTAATCTGCTCGAGAGATGCTTTTCCAAGCTTCTTCTGTAATTTTTCCATACCATTAGTGCCATTGCTGAGGCCTGGTGTTTGAGGGGAGGAGGGACCCGGTGTTGCTGGTCGACTTTCGAAAGTAAAGTTACCTTTAACGTCGGCGGGTCCCTTGGCAAGTGGTGCGCCAATCTTATTGTATGGAAGATCAGGTTGTCGTGAATAAGGAAACAAAGGAAGGACGACAGTAACACGCTTAGCAGATCCAGTTTTGCATGCGGAAATCATAATGCAAAGATCTATGAAATGATCATTGGCCTTTCCTCCGCCCGATTGAATGATATAAACATCTTTGCCTCGAACTGAGTCTTGGATCTCGAGACGACTCTCACCAACGGAAAATTTCTTAAGAATTCTGTTGCAGGGTGGAACACCGAGCGTATTGCAGATGATCTCTGTTATTTGAGGATGGGAGTTTCCTCCGAGAACAACCAAATTACGAACCATATCTTCAGATATATGGCAAGGAGTTTGAGGTAGTTGCGATATGGTGATGATGGTAATGATGATTGAGATTTTTGTTGAAAGGTTTAAATTGAGATGCGGGATTAACTTTTTTGTGAGGGGTTTCGTAGCCGCGTCAAATCTGGGGCGGTCTAAGGGCTTTGAAATAAAGAAGAAAGAATTGGATCGCACAGGAATTTAAGGCAATTAATGGTAGATGATGAACCTTTTATAGATATAGCAAATGCTATAATATATCTTCCCTTTTTCTCAAGATAGAGGTTTGTGATTTCCAATTGATTTCAAAAGTTCTTGTTGATAAATCGAATTGATATGAATGGAAATGGAAATTGAAATTGAATATAAATAAAATATCAAAAAAACCTCTCACAAGCAAAAGTTTTGAATCACACAAGAGGGAAAGAAAAAAAAGATTCATACGGTCAGATCTGGTGACGTGCTTAGCCTATTAGAGTTAAGCATTTAAACCCCATTGAGACCCCGCAGTACGAGGCTGAACTCGCTTAAAATGTTTTGCATGAGATAGTCAACTCTGGAAATTATTTCTCCTCAAGGCTGAAGATTGTGATCCAACAATCAACGCCTGTTTACGAAGAGCCACATAATACAACGTCTTGGGAGTACTAGGTGACGTCTAGCTGCCAGTTACAACACACTAGTACGCCAGGGATACTAAACAGCCATGAAGATTCTAGAAGCACAATCCGCAACCCTTAGCAATTTTGAGGTTTATACTCATTTGAAGGATATTCAAAAGAAACACCGCACAGGAGGAAGGAGGCCAGGAAATCTTGACAATGTTATCAAAGAGGTAGCACCTTGCTTCTTTATGACTCGTGAATCTAAAACTGATCTGTTTTTAGTTAATGCAATACCTCGAGGAAGCACCTTCACCTCTCGCGCAAAAGCCATGCCCATATAATGAGGTTACAATTCGAAATCTCCTTGAACAGCTTCGTCCCTATGACTTGACCAAAGCCGAAATCCTTATGATTATCAATCACCGACCAACATCAATGGAGAATTTGAACATCATCATTGAAGAATTGGAGCTGAGATTTCCAGATGAAAATGATCAGTGGGGAATTATAGATGTTGTCAAAGATGTGCTAGGTGCACAGGATGCCGAAGAAATGAAGCAGACCATGGCAGATAATACCGAAGCTGCCAAAAAGGATGAGCAGAAAAGACTGGAAGATGAAGAGAGACAATACAAGGCGCTTATGGACCAATCGTGAGTGTGTAGGAATGCTGGGCAACGCTCTTCGTGTTCGCAGATTTAGGTCAATCCCGAACACCGGCTGCATAACAGACTATATGCAAATCGGTCAATGTGTACATTGTAGAAATATTCTCAGTGGCTTATTCGAACGAATCGCCGAGAACGAAGTTCTAGGTCTACTGTGTCGACGCACAAGACGATTTGGCTGCCCAAGAAGAGGAAGTATGGCAAATCGATACGTTTACGATTGATCTCAGATTATGGAGGCTATCCATCTTTGGGTTTAAAAATAGGACAAAACGGTAGGCGTTCGTGGCGTAAAGGTGTCTAAAATCCTTCATGTCTGATCTCATATCGGTCATGCGACACGCCATTAAATGTCAATAATGACCGACAATATAACTGTGGTGAGAACCGCAAAAGCCACTACATCTTAAATAAAAACAAATAATTCAAACAGAAAAGTATTCAGAGCTCAAAGTGAAGTCAATGACAATTCCAGTATTGTATATCAAGATTCCAAGTGGAACCAAGCTACTTCAAGTTCAACCAAGTACCACCTACCTTAAACTGGATATTAAAGGCTTGGTCTTTCTAAACCTGCCTGTCTAAAGTAGCCACAATGTGTGAACGCGAAACCCATCTACAACGCAATCACTTTTCTTGTTTCCCCCTCTCATACTGCCCCACTGCCAAACTCTTTCTCAAATATCACGAGATAAAAGAGCAAAAGCGAACAAAGCGTAGAGTCTCCTCCTATGACATAGTATGATAACACGGTAGAGGCTACTCCTATTGAGTAGCTAGCTCTTTACTCAATCATATCCTACTAATGTGGTTGCGAATATCATGAAGCGTGATTTGGGATAGTGTCCGGGTAAGAATATTGGAAGGAATGTTTATTGTTACAGGTTCTTTTACTATCAATGCGAATCATACCGTTCGTCTATTTTGAAATATCATGACAAGAAGTGTATACAATGGCAATACAAACATAGGATACTTATCTTCCACAATCTCTCGAAATTAGTGACCTTGTTCCAATATCTGCGCATTGGCTTGGATTATAATATCTTGATTTTACACTCTGTTTGCCATGAGAAAGGTTCAGATTTGACATTATTAGTATTGATATATCTGCGGTCTGTTGCCACATATCAAGTGGTTTACATACCTATTGAACAATTTTACCATCTCGCTTCCACAGCGGGGAGAGGCATACGATATTGGCTTCTAGTCCTGGGCTCTATTTTGGAAGAAAAGTGGTTGAATCTCATTCTGGAAAAGTATCTTACCGGGCGAGGCAAGGACTCGGTTTGGCTCCTTCGTTAAGTTAGTATTTGGTTATATGAAACTTATTTAACTCATGTCTTGGAAAATAAAAGGCTTTTAACGTTCATTCGTTCTCACAAACAGAAGCAATACCACGCGTATATCAATGTCTTGTGTAATAAACAGGTCAGCTTCGGACGTATATGCTGCCGTTATACCAGAATATCAACATTTGCTAGTCAACGTCACCTTTAATCAAAGCCTTTCGTTGTCACCTCTTATTTGTAGGTCATCAGCATCATCAACATTTGTCATTATCGTTATATTAGACTGACTTGCGCAGCCTATGTTGGCTTGAATAAATCTAATTGCCACCAATCACTTGCTGCATGTTCTACGAAACTCAGTTGTTGCCGAGCTTCACTGCATTTTTTTGGCTACAACAAAACGACAATTTTGATCACTCTGCAGATTGGCATAGTTCTATTTCCTACACAGGTGGTGAGCTTAATAATTGAACGCACGCCTTTGTATATATTTCGATCAATCTCGAAATTTACTGTTGAGTCTCCGAAGCATTGACTATCTGTTTCCTCCTACCCACTGAGCAGCTGTCTGATCATAGGTTGCACCCTTACTGTCACCCTTCGCCTCAATTTATTTCAATGGGCATGGGCACTAAAAAAGTATAGTCATCGTCTTCATTTGTTGCCGCACATTTTTCTCCCAGAAGTCGAGGTATTTCTAGTTCAAAAAGCTCTGAACAGTTTGCACATCATCTATACCAAAGCTGATAAGTTAAACTCAAAGTTTAGGCTTAGCCGGTTCCATCTCCGTTTTCTTTAATTTCTGGGTCAATTCTTCAATCGTCGCCGGAGGTTTAGTATCGACTGGTTTCCACCATGGCCAGACACTTGGTGCATTCTCTTGCATATTATCCTTGAACTCAGGGTTTCTCTTTTCCATGAAGCCTGACATATACCGATTAGTATGATCCCAAAATTCTGCCTAAGGAAAAACCACATACTCTTAATTCCCTCGTTCTTATCCCCCGATTTGAACAACTCCAACAAAACCTTACTGTCTAAAAGATGCGTTTCTTCCGCCGTTCCCGGCCCTTTCCACATCAAATCTCTCATAACCGCAGTTGAAACTGCACTCGTATTTTGAGCTATATCATTTGCAAGTTCTAATGCACGTGGAAGAACTTTTTCGGGGGGTAAGATCTCGGAGAAGAGGGAGGAGAGAAGAGGGGATGTTGAGGGGTATATTGAGCCAGTTGTCGTGAGGTGCATAGCGCGGGAGAGACCGATAAGACGGGGGAGGAAGTAGGAGGAACATGCTTCCATTATGATACCACGGCGGGCAAATACGAATCCGATTTTTGCTGTAGAAGAAACGATACGGATAGAAGTTGGGAGTGTCACTGAGGTGGATTAGAAAAGCATTCCTGTGTAGAAACGAGATTTGAACCCGAATTAGGTATCTGATGGGGATAGTATCCATGCTTACCGGTTATGCCTACACCGACAGCCGAGCTACGAAGGTGTTAGTTGTGTTCAAAAGGCATCAAATGAGGGAATCGTGGTTGTTTTACTCGCCCATTAATAGCTGCAATTGTAGGTTTCATACATCTATGAATAGCTAGTGCTACCTAATGAATAGGATTAATCCAAAGAAACTATACTAAAGAATGAGGGAAATTGAACACCCCTCCAAAACGCGAAAAAATAAATCACACACCTTTCCACCACCATCCCGATGCGTCAACGCCGTATCATTCTCATATGACAATCCGGCTTCCAAATCCACTCCGGCACAAAACATCTTTCCATGACCAGTCATAACAATACATTTCACTCTAGGATCAAGTGACAGAAGATTGAAAGCTGTTTCAAGTTCTTCAGCCATAGTATCTGTGAACGCATTGTGTTTTCCTGGTCGATATAGTGTGATTAGAATAGTTGGAGTGGGTGTGGGCGAGGACTCTGGTATGTGAGAGACGCGGATATGTTGGAAAGGAAGTGCTGAGTAGGAGCTTGGAAGTGAGGGAGTCATGTTCGGTTGTCTGACTCTACTTGAAGATTTGATTTGATGATTCGATTAAAATTTAACTTTCATTATAATCAAACTTTGGAGAAACGTAGCATGAGAAACTCACATGTACTTTTGTATCCAAGTTTAAAATAAGTATGTAAAAAGTAGTCAATGTCTCCTGAACCATTAAATTGAACGATGGATGTATAAAGCAAGATGAAGACAAATTCTGTGAATCTAGAGCAATAAGGATATTGCAGTAATTACATAGTCGCTATCAAAAAAATTCTCAAATTAATCCTTCAACTCGCGAACAGTATGTCGACTCTCGAGATGCCGAGGATAATTAGATCTTGTGCGGGGTCACCGGGAGCCCTTGCTCATGACACGTGGGAAAGCCGTTCACGATCGACAACTCAAAATATGCTAACAAAAGATATATAATTCATTAGACATACTCGTATGTTTAAGACCCCTTTTGACTTCCCCTGAAAATACATCGAGCAGTTGTGTAGCACATATTCATATTCATATTCTATGCTCTCTTTTCATGTATTATAACGTCACATTTGTCAATAGCTTGGGTAAAAATAGTAAGAGAGTAGATGGCTTTTGCGGATATGGATATCTTAGAAAAGAACTAATTGTCACCGATAGAGTGAAATTTGCGAGGTGTAATTGGTTGGCTTACAGGAAGTATAGGAATTATGTTGAATTGAAAAGCCACGGCGATGAAGGCAAATCAAATCAGTCTTATTCCCCGTCATCTTTGTATTGTTGTATTGCCCCATCATCCCCCCACCTTCCTAATTCCAACAATAGCTATTCGTAAAACAACTTCAACTCCAACTTCAAATTCATATTAAACACATTATCGTTTCTATCAAACTGTAATTACTTGATCCAATCGTTGAAAACTGAGGAAACAAAGTATACACGATGCCTCAAAAAGAAGCTGTTTCGACCGACAAGGCGCCACCGCCATTGCCCTTCTTCTCCCAGGCCATTAAATGTCAAGGAATGGTTTATTGCTCTGGTAGCATTGGGATGGATGTTGCTACAATGAAGCTCGTCGAAGGAGGTGTTGCTGATCGAACCGTATGTCTCAATTCCTATCTACAGATTCTAAGGTCAACGTTATTGAGTGACAAATCTAGAAACAAGCAATTTTGAACCTCCAGGCGGTTTTGGAAGCCGCTGGCAGTAGTCTTGACAATGTTGTCAAAGTCAACGTCTTCCTAACCGACATGCAGAATTTTGCAGCCATGAACAAAGTCTATGTAGAATTCTTCCATAAGGATCCCAAGCCAGTCAGGACTTGCGTTGCGGTACACCAATTGCCACTCGGGACCGATGTGGAAATTGAATGTACAGCTCATCAGTAAGGTAATGCCTTTTTGATATATTTAAAAGCCACCGCTAATATAGACTGTCTAGGGGAGAAGAGTTCTTGTCGTCAACAAATTTGCTATCAAGGCCAAATCTTATGACCAAGGATTGGTAGCAAGATATCAGGGAGCCGAACTCTGGATTACAATACCACAATTTTTTTTTTAAATCAAAGCGATTTACAATTGTTTAACTCCTTGCAGTGCTTTCAATTATATCGCTTGACTTGATTCAGAACAAAAAGAGGTGATTGCTTCCAGCTTTGATTTTCTTTGTGTGGCCGGCATTCTTCGTTTCTTTGAAGAGAGCTTCATGATTGTCCTTCATTTTCTTTTCTTCTGTTACATACAAATCTCAATAAACGTTGCAACATTGCAAAATCGTGAAATTCCAATCTAAATGCTACACATATTGTAACTGTTCAATCATCTTCATTATGTCGTTCTCACGAAATAGAACCAATTTCAACCTGCTTGATGATGTGGACGACGAGGACAGACTTCCTGGCGAGGACGACAAGAGTGTTTTGTTTCAAACAACAGGAACAACTCTCCGGAATGCACCGCGACTAGTTGGCAGCCAGATCGTGAATCAAGATCTGATCCAAAAACGAAGAAATAAAGCCCTAGAAGCATTGTTAGCGGTGCGAGAGGAGGGCGATAAAACGGAAGGGCTTACACTGCTCAATAGCCTAACCAGCAGTCCAGTGACAGACATGGTTCCTGCAAGTGCAGCCTCTCAAACAGCGGAAAAGTCTGAGGCTCTTCCTCCGGTAGCAAAAGAGGCATTGGCTGAAGCTGACAGTCCAAATGTAACGAATCAAGTGCCGGCCAGAGGACGTAAATGGTTTGGACAAGCTCAGGCGCGACCTACTACTATGGCCGACATCAAACGCTTTATGCCCCTTCAACTCGAGCATCCTCCACATCCGAATGGAGATCGCAGTAATGCATGGTTTAAGGATGAATATGCCAATCTGTATGTAGCGATAGTCAGGTTTGCTACAGAGTTTTTTGGATTTCAGGATTTACAGGAAGGGTTTCACGAGCCCTGGGCTGTTCGGATGCCGGAGGAGTTCTACAGATATGTGGAAGTTGTTGCTGAGCCAGATACTGTAGTCGGAGGATGGGATGAGATGTTGCTCGATACGAGTACAAGAGAATATCTCATTGTCGGTATTATCGTAAGGATATTAGAGGCTAGGGTTTTTTCGCCGGTTCTATGGGGAAACACTAAAGAGGGGGAAGAATTCCTTCATGGTTTAGATCGTGCACTTCTCGATAGTGAAGGTATGATATCCCAAAAATCAGCAGATGGAAACTTTGATTACAATCCAAACTGACTCCCTTACTGTGTAGGATACAGTCGTCAAGAACTCCGCCACAGATCTATTCGCACTCTCTTGGGTGGAGCATCTCTAACCCCTAATTTTCACAAGGATTGCACACAATTGACCGCCCAAGTACTACTCCTCTTTATGCCTCTCTTCAACTACCTCACGCTTCTCCCTGCCGGTCCTGAAACCGTCACCCCCAAAGCTACAGCCCTATACCAGGCCCTTCACAACATATTCTCCAGCGCCGCCTACCTATCCATCTGCATCCGCATCTCCCCAACCATAATCCACACCGTTTCTCTCCTCCCCGGCACCGCCTACAAACCCGACGAACACACTTCTATTCTCCAAAACTCCTGGACCCTATCCAAAACCGTCGTTCAAAACAACTGGAACCGAGATCATGAAGCATGGGAAATCGAACGCGCGGAAGCCGAGGGTTACGTGATCGGCTACAGAAACGCAGGAGATAGACGTCTTGAATCAAACGCCGGCTTGCGTGCTCTTCGTCGTCTGCAAGATGTGCAGAAGAAATTGGCAGAGCATAAACCTCCCGGTTTTACGCACGAGGCAGCGGTGAAAATTGCAATCTGGCCCGTCACGAAAAGATACTGGGCGGGAAGTTCAAAACCAGGTGGCGATATGGATGGTCAGAGTGTGTTTGACGTCACGAAAGCGGGAGCGGTATTTTACTATAAAGAAAAAGGTAAACCCGTTGAACCACTTCTGGATTTCGTGACAGAGAAAAAAAAGAAATTGGGTGGGAGATATGAGAGAGTTAAGGATCTTCTGGCGGTGTTGGCTCTGTTGTCTCTGGGTGCATTTATGGTTCTCTTGTATGTGGTTGGATGGGCAGCGTTGATCGCTTGGCTTACAAGTTCTATTGCTGCGATTACGGAGTCATTGAGAGAGTCAGTGGTAAGGGGAAGAGAAACGGCGTCTAGTGCATATGAATATACCGGATCACCTGGCCACAACTGGTTCGGGGAAAGAAGAGAACAGCCGATTCCTGATTACCACACCGCATATTCAAATGCAAAGGAAGGTGTCAAAGAGGAGTTGCACAAGGGCGCTTCGAAGGCTGAGGATTTCGCTGGTGATGCATATGATAGAGTGACAGCCAAAGCTAAAGATGGCGTAAAAGGTGGCTACAATGCGTATGCGACCCGAAAATCACAGGCGGAAGACGTTATTGAGAATGCAGCATCAAAGGCCAAAAGCGCAGGGAGAGTATACGAGAAAGCGACAGACAAAGCGAGAAAAGCAGCCAGCAGTTCCGGCGAGAAAATCGCATCAAAAGCCAAGAGCGCGGCTGGAGGTCCTGCCGAGAAAATCACATCGAAGGCGAAGAGCGCGGCGAGACTTACGGCAGAAAGGGTCACGTCGCGGGTGAAAAATGCGGCGGGTGGAGCTTACGGGAGAACGTCGAGGGGAGCGGGAGCGAGGGCGACGGTTCAGGCGACGAAGAAACGGGCAAAGGGGGAGGCGTATACGAGAGAGGGGATGAGGAATTTGTGATTGTGTTTTTTTTGTTCTCTAGCTGTTGGGTTGGTTCTTTTTGGTGTAGTTAGTTAGTTGATTGGTTAGTTGGTTAGTCAGTTTATTGAGTACCTATGCATGTATGTATGTATTTTGGATTAAAGATTGTATACTCTATGTTTTATGTTGACATCACTGTTGCTTGAGTGACTCTCTATCTGCCTACCTACCTACCCAGGTATAAAACTAACATATAAATTGGGTGATTCAGTACATATCTGTGAAGTGTGACCCAATTCCCCCCTCTAACATTTCGAAAAAATCCACATATGAGCTACTTACTATTCAAAGCTACTTTGCGAGATATACAAATTATTCATTACCTTGTAATAATCATTCTAATGATCGATAATGTGGGATATATACATACTTTCCTAGTATCTATCTATCTGTCTATCTATCTATCCCAATCCCCATTCTCATACCCATCATATTCCCAAACTAATCAAATATGTGTATGGTGGCAGGAAGGAGGAAGGAGGACGAGAGAGAGAGAGAAACTCTGGATAAAACATATATAGATATGACTATATCGGGTTTGTAATACAACAACCCCTCACAAAAAATGGAATAACACACCCCATAAAACAATCATCTACTATTTGGTCATCGGAGAATACTAGATACGTCACTCATGGAGTGCATAAAATCAATTGTTAAACCGACAAGACAAGACACGACATGGTTTTGAATTCATCCACTATAACTAGGTAGCCCTCTTGAGATTCAAACACGCGAAGCAAATCATCTGACATTTCAGTCCAAAATATAAAGGAGAAACGCCGGCCTTTAAAATTAGCCAATTGGGTATTAAGGTCATAAACCCTCTAGAACACCATCCCCGTCAAACTCCATGCTGAATTTAATATAAATCCTCTCGATCCAAACGCCTTGTATATCAATCATGTCATATTCGTAAGAGAGTCGCACAATATCTTCAAGGGCCTGGAGAAGGTCCTGTGAGGGCATTTGAAGGTGCTGGCGCAGACCCTGCCTGCGGCTTCTTCTCTTTCTTTGCCCAGCGAAGTCCGCAGGCATTGCAAAGCGTCTTGGGACCCTTGGGACCTTTGCGCCATTCTGGTGAATCCATAACACCTTAAAAAAAAGTTAGCTTTTTCTGAGTAGAATTGAGAGGATTAACACGATACATACCACAATCTGCGCAAACATATTCATCTGCTAGCTTCATCTTCTTTTTCTTATCCCCCAGACGGCCATCCTTGTCAATTGGTATGGCAATTCCGACATCGCCTCTGATTAAAGCTGGACTACGGGCGCCAGTGCTAATCCCTTGACTTCTTTCACCATCTCGATATTGTAACCCGGTGAGCATTTCTACAGTATCAACACCCTCATATCGTTGCATTTTATCTTTGATAGAATCAGGTTGTCGACTAGAAATCGCATCCTCAAGATTTGCTTTTGTCAACGTGCTATACGACATATCCGGTCTTGCTGGCGGAGGCATCGCTCGGAAATCAGGATGGCTCGGATCCGCAGGTAGAGATGCGCTCATGCCTGTGGTCATCGTCTCAGATGAGTCTGATGGATGTCGATGCGTCCAGTTCCTTTCACTATCTTCGAATTCTTCTTCCTCTTCCCTCTTGAGATCCCTGATTTTCTTTGACATTCGCTCAAACTCGGTTTTATGTTCCAAGAATGAATCCAGTAGAAGGGCGTTCTTTGTTGGATACTTCCTTGCCATCATAAAAAAGCCTCTACAATAATCCGCCGTTTCTCTAGGTGGGATATCTGGATCTGGAATTGGGACAGCTGCTGATGGCGACGGCCTTGATGCATAGTGGGCATGTCCGTGACACTCGAATATTACGTAGGACTCGTCCTTCTTGCGAAATCGAAGATAGAATCGCAGTTTATTACCCGATGCAATGGCTTCATTGAACTCCCTCACAAACATTGCACTATCATCTGGATGTATGTAATCGACAATGAATTTCCCCTGAAGCTCCTCTGCGGCATACCCAGTGAGGCTTTGACAACTAGGCGAAAGAAAAACGAACTTTCCGAAGGGGGTCAAGACGTGCAAAAAGTCCTTGATCTCTTCTACCACCTTTTGTTGCCAATTTCTTCGTCTCGTGAAATCATTGACTGAGCTGTTACTTGTATTTGTTGGTTGGACACCAAAGCCTGCAGGTAAAGGACCCGCCCCGATTTCCTCAATCTGAGCATCTCCATCATTTGTTCCTCCCCTTCTCCCATCGTCGGTGTGTTCATTCCCGACGGGCGACATCATGTTGAGTGATGTAAAAGATTTCGGAATATTGCCATTGTCGCCAAGGGTATTCATATCCATATTCATATCGGGTAGACCGTCAAAGTCCATCATTAAATTATCCTGTAGCATCTCCGACATTAATGTATCGGGTAAATCTTGATCGACCTAGATTTGGGATCATATATAATTAGCATACTGAAAATAAATGCCATGAGAAATTTCCAAATAAAAATAAAAATGTAAGAAAGGCTAGAAAGGACCAAGAGATTTCGGAAAATTGAAGGTTTTCGTACCTGCGAGGCTGACAGTGCCCGATCCATGGATCCGAGGTTGGCTGCATGATGATGTTGCAAGTAATCGGTCGGATCCAGATTCAAATTATTCATATTCATAGATGTATCCCCCTCGGACATTTTCGAACTCTAATTATGCTGCGAGCGTGAAGAAGAGTATCTATCTGTATGTGTCTCTGTCTCTGTCTCTGTATGCGCATTTGGATTCGAGGCGGATAGGTAGCGAGGACGTGAAGGTTCTGAGTGGGTAGGTAGGTGTATAAGTTTATCGTGAACGGTAGAACGTAAAACGTAAAATGTGGTGGTGAGATGAGATATGACGCCCTCGAGGCTTTGTCGGGAAGTCTGGATTTTAAAGAGGGGAAGAAAATTTCCCCCCGAGATTTTGGAGTTCAAGTCAAGTCAAGTCAGGTCGAGTTGAGTTGAGTCGAATCGAGCGGAATTAATAACAAATAAATGGATTGATGATACCTAAGCAATATCAGGTACCGTTACTAGCACCAACCTATTTAGGTATTTAGGTCTTTAGGGATTTGAGTGATTAAAAGTATTTGAATATTTGAGTATTCGAGTATTCGAGTATTCGAGTATTCGAGTACCTTTTCAATGACGAAATATAAGGCGGTAAAATGGGGAATGGAGAAACATGGCAATTGTGAAAATGTGATGTTTTTTTTTGGTTTTCATTATTAGAGTGAAGATGGTTAGTACCTGGTATGCCTGGTATGTAGGTCATCCAAGATCTGTGTGGCATGGAGAAGATGTGGGATTTTAGATGTTGGATGTAAGATGTAAGATGTAAAAGATGCAAGATGTCGTATGTCGTATGTCGTAATGTTCTTGGAGAATAAGAGGAATAGATGTGAGGGCGTGCGTATGTGTATGGTAGAAGGTGCTATTATCCAAAGCCCAGGGTCATGTCAAGAAAGACAGGTATAGCTATAGTATACATACCTACCTATATACATACATACATACATACATACATATATACATATATACATACATACATACATACATACATACATACATATATACATATATACATACATACATACATACCTACATACATACATACATACCTACATACATACATACATACCTACATACATACATACATACCTATATATAAGAGACAAAAGAAATGAAGTTCCGGATTGATTTATCAATTGTTCTCAGGACAAGGTATAATGAGCATGAGCGAGTCGAGAGATATGTTGAGTCTTGGTTACACATTGCTAATAAGTGATTGATTGCTTTGCTATGTTCTCTGAGGATAAATTGGGATATAAAATGATATAGTTATATATATATATACGTACATATGACTGGTTGATGTATGGAATGAACTTTATATTCAGATTAATAATAAGAGTATAACGTGATTTATCATCGAGTAGACTATATCATCGAATAGGCTATCATTTTTATATACAAAATTTGTCTGTGTGTAATCGTATACTTTCTTTATTTATTGATAGAATTTTTTAAAAATTAAAAATATAAAATTTAATTATATAAATATTACAAAAATCTCATTATTTATTAGAAATTCAAATTAATATAAGAATTATTATTAGAAATATTTTTTTGTAACGAAAATCATAACAATTTTCACTTTTTTTAATATAAAATGAAAATATTAATATAAAAATTAGATTTTTAGAAAAGTAATCTTTTATTATTATTTAATCTTTTTTTCTTTTTTTAAAATAATAATTAATTATTAAAATATGAATATTCAAAAAGCCTTAATTTTGGTGTATTTTGAAGTAGCCCACTCAATGATATGATCCACTCGATGATAAATCACGTTATATCAATCACATTTTAGTAGAATGTTTAATTATATATAGTTACTTGAATACCTACCTATATATATCTATCTATCTATGTAGATATATACTGACTGGTATATAGTATCATATGCACATATATTGTATTCTCATATCTACCTCCCTCCCTCGTCGACCCTTTTCTTTTGCTTGCTCGAATTTTCTTTTTTCCTTTTCTTTTCTCCCCCTTGGGCTAGATTCCGTCGTCGGGTACTCAAACTCCGTGCATCGTAATATTTGGAGTGAAATCGGATGACATCGTCAACGTCATCGATTTATTACTTAGCTTACTAGATACACCAGTACGCATTAAATGATTACTACTGTGTCCCTTCCACCTGCTCATAGTCGGCTCTTATAAGCGGCCGACTATTACCAACTTGGCGGCGGGGAATGGGAATCTCTACCTCGCTCTCTAGGACTACCCAGCGAGCCAGTCTCGAGCCAGCTATGCATTGACCATCCGAGACCATCAATCTGCCTAGTAACCATCCAAGCAATGAGGGAACAGTTGCCTAGAATCTAACACGTGACTGCGTGCTCTTTCAACGCGTTTCTTTTCATCTCTGTCTATCGTACTGCGCGTTCACTTCAACCTCTCCAACACATTTTTCT